AGGTAAGATTTCGAAAATTTTATTGAAATTAATTGAATTATTTTCAAATTCTTCCCACGGTAAATTGAGACATTTTATTTTCATCAATAATTTCATATCACAATATGTACGCATCTTCAATTGTGATATAATAAAATACTTTGAACTTCGGCTGAATATCTTGGCAATAACGTCTTATAATGTCAAAAGACATTGAGCGTAAAGGTAAATAATTATACGTAATTGCAGTGGTAGAAATCCAAAATTCAAATTAATGTATTTATAATTGATCTGAAAATACAATTTTACAAGTAAAAATAACTATTAATTATTATTATGTCTTATCTATTGTGTTTAAGATCATTGCAATCAACAATTGTATTTTGCTTAATAGATTATATTATACGAATAATTTGCTTGTATTATGAAAATAATATAAAATTCTAGACGTTTGTTCATTAATCTGTAAAATATTTTCATTTAGGACAGCGTTTAGAGTCTTGATAATCAAGTTTGATCATGTGCTGTAAACAATTCAGCACAGTTAAATATTCTATAGGTTTTTTTTTTTTTTTTTTTTTTTTTTTTTTTTTTTTTTTTTTTTTTTTAAAATTTTTTTTTATATTCGAAGACCTAATGAATATGAGAAAGTTGATATTTAAATTATCATATTACTTGGATGGGATTGGAGAATTTCGAGCTTAAATCTTTTAGTATTTAGTATGACTCATTAATATGAGTTGTCAAGTTGAATTGTCATGAGATAATTTAAGGCAATTAAACATTAATCGTACAGTATTTGTATATTTCGACCATTTATAATCGTACATAACTTTGTCATAATGCCTATAGATTCGTCTGTATAATATACGTTAACGAGATAAATTCGAGTTGAATGTAGATTTCTTTAAATAATTTAAAATAAATTTAATGATAATATTTACTACATACTTTTTCTATTTTGATACTAGCTTACGTTTGAGCATTTTAACGTCCTGTTTAAGTCCAAATTAGCCAGGTTATTTTTATTATTTTTTTTTCTAATAAGATGTTAATCAGGATTTAAAAAATATTGCTCGTCTCGTATTCTTTCGAAATCATAATAATATCTCTGATTGAAATGACCAAATGTCATTTACAATTATCGTCTACTTTAAAACTCTTTGCACTTTCATTTATTCTTACCGCGCACATTACATGTACAATTTATAGAACTCTGCAACATATTATCAAACATAATTTATGAACTAGCATAATGTAGGCAGTATGTAACCATTCTGATGAAAATATAGTTTAATAATCTGGAGCACTTCGTGTTAACGGAGCCGACGAATATTATTATACGCTGTGTATAATTCTGTCAAAATTAAAACAAAATTAAAACAAAATGACTCGGAGACATACGGGCAAAGCAGTGAGAGGGAGGATAAGATTTTCGCCTTAAAATTATTTCCGCAAGACGGAAAACTGAGAAACGTAATAGGGAAGTCGAAATCTAAAATTGTCCTGTCTCACCGAATTGTGTAGTTTCCCGAGCTTCGCGCAAGCGCTACAAATGCTTATTAAAAGGTTATCGAGCTTGCATTTTGAAATTGCTATCTTTGCGAACCATAATAATTTGAGAATGCCATTAAAGAATGTTTAATGGAGCCAGTAAAGATGGGAAAAGTGCAAGAATAGAAACACGTGGGCTGGTGAGGGGTGGGTGGGTGGGGGTGTTAAATTATGACTTGTAGGTGTGATCATTGATACGTGTAAATAAATAATTCATATGTTAAATAACATTTACATTATAGTATTAAAGATGATGTCTTTTGTTGGCCTTAAATATCTACATTAATGATAAGAGAGAACAAAGTTAGTTTACAAATTTTTAAATTAAAATATTGTCGAGACGAACAATTATTTCAAATATGTTTGGTAATGAAATATCAATGTCCAGCATTTCAAATACATTGACAGGCTAATTTAGTAAACATGAGTTAATATTTTTTTTATTTTGCTCTAATTTCTAACGCGTCCATCAAGATAAAGTAAAACTTATTTCTAATTATGTTCCTATTTTGAAATACCTGTTGTTTGTTTATAAAGTAATATTTTAAAACATTTATTTTCAACATCATTTGCATGCTATGAAATTCATTAATTTACAGTCCCTTTGATATTCTGATTGCATAATTGAATTTTCCTTTTTTAAACAGAGTATTAAAAATCTAGAATTCAATAGAATATTAATTTTTGCTCCAACGAGCAAGTTGTTTGGTTTATCCTTGTCCCCGTGTCATATAAGTTACGACGTAATAAATATTATTATTTTACATTAGCCACGAAAATGTTTTCATTAACGTAGTCATAAAAATAAAACAGCAGAATGATTATCGAAAATTTAATACAAATAATATAAAGTTTATACTGCAAGCTTTTTAAAATTAATCTCAAATTTCTTTCCAACCATCTTTTTTTAAAAATTTTAATGTTTTTACACATCACTGTTATTTATATATATATATATATATTTATATTTAGAGATAAATAAAGTGTAGAGGAACGAAAGAAATATTAAAGAACGTATAGTTAAATGTTTTATTTTTAAATGAAATATAAATAATATTAAGTGCAACGTTTAGAGGACTAAAGAATAAGCTTCCTTTCGACCGAAAATAGTGTTACGACTGATATTCATTGGTAATTTGATTTGGTTCATAAAGTTGATATACATCGCCTTTACGTGTAAATTAATGGATTTCTTTTTAACAGGGATTCACATAATTTCGCAAATCCTTAATATTATCCGAACGAAAATTTGAGTATTATAATATACAAATTTAGGCAAAATATAGAGGATCCAATAGCTTAAATGACTTATTTTATTGATATGTCCTAACTTACCTCATTGAAGCACATTACAATTTAAAATATAATTTTCAATAATAATAGATATATTTGTTTAAGAAACAAAATTGTTCATTAAAATATAATATTATTGTGTGTAATATATTATATTACTATGTAATATAAAATTTCTTAAAACATAATGAAAAATTCAGTATACGGTGAATCGATAAGTCTGATGAGCCTTTCTTTCTTTTTTTTGTTTTGTTTTATACGTTTGATTAATTTTATAAAATTTATATATATATATATATATTTCATATTTACATAATCAAATTAATTATGAATGATTCTATTTCTTCATATCGTAATCTCAACATTACTTTTAAAAATTATACATTTGTTTACTTCGTTGTACAATAAATATCTATTTAAAAGTGGCCTACGCTCGACAAGTTATGAATTTAGAAATTTCTAAAACTTGGAGTTAAATAATATAAATATTTTAACAACGAAATGTGATATTACTTTATCATGCTGTGCCCTGAGTGCATATGATTATTTACAGACTCGTTAAATTGGTTTGATGGCTGTTAATAAACTGTAATGTACATATGAGATCGTTATCGGACTTTGACTAAGGTCTATAAAATGATCGTATTATGTAAATTCTCGGAAATCTTTAAGAGAGAGAGAGAAGCGAAGGAATGCAGAACACCGTTTTATTTCTCTATTATAATACTTCTATATTGGTACATAGGCATGACTAATTGAATGGTGACTTAATAAAATGTCATATAATTTCAATATATTTATAAAATATGTCATTTGGAATACATTTAATAACGAATCGAAAGTATTCATCGTTTATTTTTATATCCCGTCTAGCGTGATGTTAAATTTATTTATGAAAAACTTTCAGGCTTAAATATCTATCTTTATGTATGCTAATATGTAGCAATTACAAATTATTAATTTGTTGAAATTAAAGTAGCTTTCTACATTACCGATGCCAAAGCTTGGGATACGAATGAAGAAAAAAAAAATTTATAGATTATCCTTGAAAAAGTTTAATTTTTTAACGTAATTTCTCATAATGGAAAGAAAGAAAATGTATAATATGGATGAAAATATATTTCTTGCAATATCAATTTTATACATTTACCAATAATACTTTCCAATACTTCGATGTAAAATGACATATTTTTCATTAGTGTTTTTATTAATAATTGTTAAAAGGATCGATTTTTTCTACGGAGAATTTATATTTAAAATTTTTATTTTCAGCTAATTTCTATCATTTGTTTCCTTCATTTTAAATAACATTTTTAGAAAATATGTAAAAGTATTTCAAACTTTGTATTTTATTTTTTTTTTATTATTATTATTATTTTTTTTTTATTTTATAATGCAATGCAATTTATTATATAATCGAATAAAATTGTACCCATTCTCTAAGCAATTAAAAGCTATTAAGATTTTGATTGAAATTTACTTTAATATTTTTCTGTGATTTACGAAGAAGAATTCAAGTTTACGTTCACAAATTTGGCATCTTGACAAAAAAAAAAAAAAAAAAAAAAAAAAAAAAAAAAAAAAAGGAAAAGAATAAAGAAAGAAAAGTCTTTAATTCAGGAAAATTAATAAAAATCTATCTTATTCAACAATTTCAGTTATTATAAAAGGTAAGCTAATTGAATAAAATTAAATACTAGAAATGATTTCATCGTACATGTTACATTCTGCAGTTTATTGAAAGTATATACGTCTATAGATAGCAACATTTATAAATTTGTTGCATAGTATATGATATTAAATCTACGTTTTTTTTTATTTTTTTAATACTACGTTAATATTTGAATTTGAATGCAATTATTTTATCGATTATTTTTTTACAAGATGGAAAATGTATGAAAGCACGTGTTTGTTTTTCGTAAATAATTTAACAATGTTTGATCTTATTTATATATATATATATATATATATCTTGTCATCTTTGTCAATAAGTAAGATCTTGTTATTATTAAGAATATAGATTAAGAAACAACGAAGAAGACAGAAAATTTATCGAATGATTCGTAATTGGACAAAAGATAAGAGTACGAAATAGATTTAGCTTTTAAAATATAGTTTTCATATTGCAAATAAAAGAGTGAGAATAAAATAGATAAGGAAATCAATATTTACAGCAGCTACCACAACCCAATCGCTGCTCGTTACTCACCACACTTATCAACGATCTCCGAGTCACCATTGAGCGCTTTGCGACGTTACTCACCGGCAGTTTCAGCCAGCAAAAGTTCAATTTCATCTATTGTCCGGCCTCGTCGAATCATCGATACAGCCGACATCGATGTCTCGAAACCTCCTCGCACGCTTACTCAGGAAAATCGTCAGCAACGCCATCGACTTCGCCGCGATCGGCCTACGATTAAAATTCGTTCCCAAGCCTTGAAGGACAATCCGGCATTGCGCGAATACAATGAGAAGCACGAGAAAACGGTCGGGGAGCTTCTCGTTGAGAAGTTTCTGATAAAGGACAAGCAGTTGGACGATGGCCAGAACGAGGAGAAAACGAAACTTTATCACCAAGTCAGTCTCATGGCTAACGACGATAAGTCAAAGGAACAGCCGGTTTTGGACGACGAGGAATGCGAGAATGACATTTTAAACGCCATAAGACGCCGCGTCACGAGGCGCATGACCCGGAGAAGATCGTCGGCTGACGTGATTCCTCTGGATCCTGGGCAATTGGAGAGGGAGGCTGCGCTTCACGCTGCCCAAGCCGTGGCATTGGACAGTCTCGTGGCCGCGGAACAGGCGGAGCTGGAGGTCGAGGCACGGAGAGGTACATTTATGAAAAGGTCGGTTATGCGATTGCCATCGGAGATATCCGAAGAGTCGGAGAGGGGTGAGGATTACGAGGCCGAAGAGGAGATTAAAATAGACCCATTAAATAAGCACGCTGGAACAACGAAGAAGAGGAAAAAGAAAGTCGCGGAGGGTGGTAGTTTGTGTGCTAAAGCTTGCGACGGGGCTGATGACGGTCGCTTTAAAGGGGACGCTGCAGAGTTTGAATGGGACGATAGAGACAAATGTAATGACGTGAGGTTGATTATGCCGGCGACTAATGAGACACTTAATGACAAATTGGCCGTTACGAATAGGGACGAAGCTGTCGAGCCTGCGACGAGAGTTGACGACGACGACGACGACGACGACAACAAGGCAAAATGCGCGCAAAAAGTTAAAAATCCAAGCATTCTTAATGACTTAAAGGCTGATGTAAAAAAGCGAACGGTCAGTGCAAAGTCGAAAAGTAACGAGAAAGTAGATGTTAATATTGAAGAGCAGGATAAAGAAATAGGGGGAGTGGAAGATATGAAGGAGACGAATAAGAAGATAATGGAAGGTGTTGGTGGAATGGGGCCTGAACGCGACAAATTGACAGTCGACAAAGTGATTTTATCGAAGAGATCGGTAGTGAAACGGGACGAGGATAATGCCATAGATGAGAAAAGGAAAATCACGAAAATCAAGGCTATCGATGATAATGTGGGAGTGCGCGATAACGATAGTGAATCGATTAAGGAAGTAGGCGAATCGGAAGCGGCTTATCAGGTAATTCCGGATATTGGGGAGCGAGCGTTGGCGAGTAATCGGCGAGAAATGAAAAGAGCGGTATCCGTACCGCAGGAGGAAATGGTGAAAGATGCCGATACGATACCGGCCTACAAAATCGAAGCCTGCAACAGCGTCGGCGACTTCTCCACTTTGTTTATCAAATCGTCAACTAGCCGTACGCCCGTATCGGCTAAAGCAATAGAGCAGTTTCGCGAGAGTATAAGACTGCCAGCACCTCGGAAATTCGGGGCAATGGGAATTAGTAATATCGAAACGAAAGTTGTGTTGCCGGTACGTAGAGCCTATATACGTGACACATCACGAAACAGCGTTTATCTGGCGTTGAAGCCAAGCCAGAATATGCGTGAAGGTGGACTTGGCGCCAGTGACAGTTCGTCAATTATTATCGACGAAATGAGGAAGGAAAGTGGTAGCGAAGGGGCGGCGTCGATCGATCGAAGGCTTGCCAAAACCGGCGTCACAGATCGAAATCGATCAAAGATCGTCGTTAGCGAGTCGGTTATTAGTGAGGCGACGGATGCTTTGAAGATTGGCGATACGGCTTACGACATCCCAAACGTCGTGAAATATGATTGTGATGAATCGACGGGAGTTAATAGAGAGCCCGAAGTTTCGTCGATCGATGGAAGGATAAGCAAAGTTGGTAGTGGAGATAAGGGGGAGGAATTTGTTTCGTGGTGGGATGAAATAGAGGAAGCGTCGAGTACGGAATTTGATGATAAAAGGAGAGATACGGCTGAAGGCACAGTCGATGATCCATCAAAATTGAAGGAACGAGGCGTTAAAAAAGGCATAAAACGCGAGGTTGAACGTGCAAAAGAAGCCAAATTGGTGGGAACGAGCGATAAAATTGTTAATAAAAATAAGCCTGTGTGCAAGGTTGTCGATAAGAAGGGGGAGAAGGTGAAAAATGAAAAGCCCGTATTGGATAAGGAAGTGCCGATAAAAGAGAAGTTGTATAAGCAAACGAGCGGGAATAGAAGAGACGAGCCAGTGCCGAAGGGAGAATTGAGTGAAAAGGAAGGAGAAGACTCATCGACCATTGACATTAATAAAGAGATTAGTAAGGATGATGAATGTATTTCGGGCTCAGCGAGGAGCGGTGACGCGAGCAAGCGGAAGAAAATCGTCAACAACGATACGATAAAGATTAAGTACGAATCAGTGAAGAACGATCAGCGCTTAGCGAATATCCCCGAGGAACCGAAATCGACGTCGCCGACGGAGAAAAATGAATCGGAGCTATTCGGACTGAAATCGGTAACGAACGACTCAAGCGAAACGACGTTTAATAAAGTTTTACATACGAGGGAAAAGCCGAGTTTCTCGGTCGCATTAAAGAAAGCAGACGCTCAGTTACAGAAATCCAAGCCAAATTCCGAGAATAGTAAATCGCGGAGCGAGAATAACGAGAGAAAGAAGAAAGTGAATGCCGAAGCTATAATGAAGATTGAGAAACAGATACTCGAAGACGCGGAGTCGCCACGGAAAATTCTCACGACCGCGATACCCGAAACGCAGCTAATCGAGCCATCCGCGGTCACGTTATCCGCGGAAAACGAAAAAGAATTTGACTCAGCGTCGCTCGAGGCGAAAGTAGGTCTACCACCAACGAAGAAAAAGTCATCGGAAGCGACTGCAGCACAGGGAGCAGAAATAGACTTCTGGAGCGAGATCAAAGCTCAGGAGAGTGTGAAAGTTTCCGGAACGCGGAGGAAAGCTCAGTTACCCGTTGACTCGACGACGGAGGACAGCGGTGGCGAAGAGCAACCGGGAAAATCTGGCGAGAGTCGCAATTTCGACTCACCGACGAATTCCCAGCAAGACCGGGGAGAACAAAGGCTCCATCTAATATCGCTCGACGCACAATCCAATGTCCCTTCGGCATTATTGCGGGACGTGAAAAGTCCATCGACTGCCCGAAACTCGGAGTCGACGATCGTAACGACTGCGAGTAATAATCAGGCAGCGCTGAAGGATCGTCGTCAGCCAGGAGAGGAGAACGGCAACTCGGCCATTAGATCCGATGTCATCGGGACTGTCGACGTAACGAGTGACGAACGACTGCTTAAGGAAGAGTCATCGGCGAACGTCGACGTTGCTCCAGGTGGTATTAAAAAACTTTCCAAATGGACGAAGCACGATAATCTCTCGAACCTAAAGGAGCCGAGCGTAAAGTCACCTCGGCTTACTATCAACGAAGCGACGTCCCAAGCTTCAGTGCCAGACTCGTCCACGGTGACGAAGAAAAAAGTATCGAAAAGGAAGAAAGCGTCGACGGCCGGGAAGAAGAAGGCCGAGAAGACCGAGAGCACCAAGACGAGCGCGAAAGCTAAAGTAACGATTAAGAAAATCGCACCCTCGCCACAAACGTCCCAGTTAAAAGCACCGATGTCACTATCCGGATCGCCGAGGAACACTCCCAGTCAGCGACCAGCCGATCTCAAAAAGTTGTTCTACAATACCCCGGCGATATTGCTGACGGCGACACCACGAGATTTGCGCAAAGTCCGAAGGGCCAAGGCCAAGAAGAAAAATCCAACGACGAGAGCACTGTCGCTTAGTAGCGACAGCACGGGGAGTACCCGAAGCACAGCCACGACGTCGACCGAGGAGAGCAGCAATTGCGACGAGGATGCCGAGCAGAGGAGATTAGCATCAACACGAAGTAATGACTCTGGATTTGATGGATCACCGAGGCTTTACAGTACGGCACCGTTATGTTCTCTTTTTTTTTTCTCTCTTTTTTTTTCTTCTTCTCTTTCTTTCCATTCCATCTGCCCTTCGCAACAAGCACGCACACTTGACAATACATCGTTCCGATTACATTATTTGTTTACGAATGCGAATAAAGCTGATGGTAGATTAACCGTAGCCTGGTATCTACATAGGCGTCTCAATTAAATTGCAATCATTTGGCAGAAGGTCAATGTGCTGTTGTTATTACATCAATATGCCGTTCGATTTCAATTTGAATGCACAATGGCCGATAGATGGATAGTTTCCTATTCTCGCCGTTACTAATGTCACATGCAACCCAATTTTTCGCTAATTATACCGAGGTAATTGTTTCATTATTTTCAAGTCCTGAGAGATAAATGACAAAGCACTGATCTACTGCTGCCTAAGAATTTTAAGAAGAAATTGTTTACATTAAGCACATTAAGTTATTATGGCTATAATAATATGAGCCCTTAACCTATTTAATTCAATATCCACATTCCATATAATACCGATTTTACGGATTAACAAATAATCTGTTTCACAAAATAATTAGCTACTAAGAAGAAATGCTTGAGCCACTGTATTAATAGACTTTACTATCTTTATTATTGAGCTTAAGAATCGGTCGAGAGTCGAGTTTCGAAACACTGTGTCTCTTTCGCTCTTGCATTTGCATAATCATTAATCACGGCTTCCTAAAATAAGACTTAAATTATTTTCTATGGTGAATTAAAAAAGAAAATAAAACACACACACGCGCGCGCGCGCGCACGCACACGCACAAACTATGGATTAAATCGTTTATTCTATAATATAGAAATTATGTTTAAAAAATTTAATCGACAGATATTCGAGTACAATTATTAGTAGACTTTTTATTCAATATTGTTTAACATGCTGCCTTTTTCAATTCGCTTAACATTTATTTTACTAACAAATTAACGCAAGTATTATTTGATAATTGCCCGTATAATTTTTGAATGAATTCTTCTGTGTCGAGGGAAGTTACATCTAGCGATTAGCATTTCAAATGGTTTTTCAAATATTGATTTGTTGCTTATAATAATTGTTGCATTTGTGTCAATTGGTCGCAGGTTAATTAATATAGTTATTTCGTGCATATGTCAATCGAGTTAAAATGAAACATTATTTTCCGGTTCTTGTTAGGACAAGGAAGAATGATTAATATCCGATATAAAGTCAAATTATTATATATTAATACTATAAATAAATTATATTGATTATGAAAATAGTTATGTAAATAGAATGATCAAAGTTTAATCCCTCTCCACCTATATTATAAAAAGTGAAATACTCAATTAAAAAAATTATATCTAAACATTATAAGTATTATTAGTCCTAATTTACTATTTATTTAGAATACCATTTTTAGCGTATATTCGTTTATTTTTATTGTATACTTAAAACGTTTTAGATTATTCTTATTTCGTAAATTTTGATATTTAACATTTTCAACGTATCTAATATACATTTTTTTTTTTTTTATTACACATTTATATTTCAAAATTATAATATCCTCTGCGTAATACTTTAACATAGTTTCGAACGTTTCGCAACACGCACATTAATTGTTTTTATAGAATATGGCGTAGTTAAAATAATTTAAAATATATGTATGAATTTTAATCTTCTTGAAAAAAAAAACAAAAAAAAAAAAAAAAAAAAAAAAAATTACTCAGAAAATGGTTATTTTCAACATTTTCTTATATGTTGGTAGTGTTTATAATTTGAACTTAAAATTCTGGAGAAATGTGTGTCACTTGTGTTTCGTTGAAGTGGGAATTTTCCAAGCTATTTTCTTCTTTCAAAATAATACAAGTTTATTTCCATTAAAAGTTACTTAATATATCTTTTTACTGTAGAATTTTAATTAGGTCGGCTTATTAGTATAACAAATTCTTTAATTTTTTTTCCATCATTCAAGCGAAATTCGACATTACGAATAAATTATTAATATATATTATACATTACAAAGATTTTTATTAAAGGCGTCGATACACATTTCTTCAAATGATTCTTTTTTTTTTTTTTTTTTGCATTTTTACGTCTTGATCGTCTTGTTGTACATAGTTTCTAATTTTGTTATCCCATGCTTTTTCTGTCCAAAATTTTAACTCCATGTAAAACTGGATTGTAATGATACTGTGCGTGCTTAACGAGACTGTAACAATCATATATTTATCAATTAATAACTAAATTACATTACATTTAATTAAATAAATAAAAATGCTTCACTCATATAATTCTTAATTATAAAATGCATCCTATGTGCATTCAGCTTTTAATAATTAACTTTCAATCTAATTGCAACATAGATATTATTTGGCTATATTTTGGCAAAGTACTTGTTTCTTTATTTTATGAAATATTACATTCCTAATTATTGACAAACATATTGAATTTCGTCTTTATAGGAAATATATTTTCAAATCCAATCATTGTAGTGAATGATTGAGAAAATGTTTTTCAAATTAATATCATAAATTAGATATTAATTACATTTTTTCTTAACTATAATTACATTAAAATAATATTATATAATGACTATTGCCTCATTATATTAGGATGGCTAAATTTTAATTAAAAAGCGTACATTGTTAATGTAAACATAGATGGTAATGGAAAAGTGCAAATATTATATTTCATCGATTTTCATATAAGACGTAAAGTCAAATTATCGATATTTGACGTTACGTAATCGTCCATCACTTGTATAAATACTATTCTGCTTATATGTTGATGCGCAGGAATTTTCCTAATGAAATCTACAATAGCAATGAGAGTTGCGCAATCGCTCGTTTTGTAAAAAGCGCAATTGGCGCAATTATGAAACGAGTCTTAATGCAACAAACTTAGTGACGTGTCGCGAGCTTGCGCTAAGTGCACATACACATGCGTGCATGTATATGAGAATAGCTTTTGAACGTTGAGACGAAGATTAAGAGTACATGGGCACAGTGAAATAATAAGGCATCCATCCACACCTGAAAACTTATAACTATTACCCGATCAATCGTACGCGATCAATCATTACATCGAGATGTAGTAATTATGGTTAATAGGTGTTCTACATTTGATTAACATTTCCGATGACAGCGTATTGCTCATATGTCCCAATTATCATTCCTATATTATTTTCATTTATCTCACCGAATTTGCTGAAATAAGTCAGAAAATAGTTTAGAATTTATAATAGTGCATTATGGTAATTTTTACTTGATTACTATAGGCTGGCTATTCAATGCCTACATTCATTAGATAATTAAAATTTTATTATTTTAATCGTTTAGAAGACAACGTTGATCTATACTTTGTATCACTATACAAAAGGTATTTAGTTTAGTTAAATTATACATATTAATTATTATTTTCAAAAACTTACCTTCTGCACTAATACATACACGTGCGTTATAAGTGAATATATACATGAGAAATGGGCACGCGGCTGTGTAGATTTGTAAATATATACACGTAATTTTGTTTAATTTTATTAGTCAATAAAATCATAAGATTGTTTAAAAATTTAAGAATTTAAAATTTTTAATGACATTTAAAAAAGAATCTCCGCTTATATGTTATTTATCAAACGCTGCATATTTATTGTTGGATTTATAACTATTTTTAACTAATTTAGGTTAATAACTATAAACTTTTTTTTTCTATATAATGTCAAAATTTATGTAAAAGTTACGGCTGTTTCTTATTAATTTCTTTGTATATACGTGTCATACGAATATTATGCAATTTTTCAGAATATTGAACATTTACACTGAATAATGTGTTTAATTTTATAAAAAATTTAATTAAAATTAAAAAATGTTTGCTTCTAATTTAAGAATTATTTTTCGGATACTATTAGTAATAAAGAGAATGATACATTTGAATAAAAAAAAAAAAAATATATATATATATATATATATATATATATATATATATAGAACGCGAGAGAGAGAGAGAGAGAGAGAGAGGGAGATAAAGTAAGAAATTTGTTATTCCAACAAAATTTTGCAACGTACATCAGACGTTTTTTAGAATAAAAATGAAAAATTTTAATACGTATTTTGCACACTTCAACGACTAATTATACAATATTCTATATATTCGTAATATGATCTTTTCACAGAAAACCAGAAATCTTATAACTTCTTGTTATAAAAAATTATTTACTTTATGAACTGGTTTGTTAAATTCAAAGAATTTCAGTCAAGCTTTTAAATGTCTTTCGATTATTTTTTCTAATAAAAAATGTCATATAATTATCAAATGCACGCAAACATGCGCGCGCGCGCGCGCGCGCGCGCACACACACACACACACACAATATATATATATATATATATGTGTGTATAATATATATATAATACATAAATGTAATATAATAATACATTTATTATATTTATTATATTTATTTTATATATTTATTACATTTATTATATTTACATTAATATAATAATACATATATAAATAATACATATATGTAATACATAAATATATGTGTGTGTGTGTGTGTGTGTGTGTGTGTGTTTGTGCGTGCGTGCGTGCGTGCGTGCGTGCGAGCGTGTGTATGTGCGTATGTGCGTACGTGCGTGTGCGTGTATATATAAATTCGAATAAATGCTTAGATTGTGACATGGTATGCCATAAAAAATGTGAAAAACTAACTGGAAATCTGTGCGGTCTGAATCAAAAACTCGTTGCTGAAGCTTTGCAGGCTGTAAAGAAAGGTGAGTCGACTTCATTCCATCCGTTTTTCTACATTAAAGCCATAAACATCTCATTCGTTCAACAGATAATTATGAATCCTCTCATCACCACCATTAAAGATATTTATACGCGTCACTATAAGCATTTGAAAATTTTGTATGATTCAATTAAATCGCTAGTTTTTAAAATAAACAGTCATTGCACATACCCCTTACCAATAAAACAATAACTAATTATAATTTAAATATTGACATGTTATTAAAGTCGAATTATTAATTTGGGGTAATTATTGTTAAAGGGAGCAACGTCGTTTAATGTAAAAAGCTTATATAATATAATACATCGATACATTTTTAATCGGAAGCTTTTTTTTTAATTCGCTGTCATTGAAGAAGTCGCGTTTAAATTTCTGTTTGGCGACACGCGTTAGATGTAAAGAATATAAAATTAGTTGAGACGAATAGCGCAAAGGGAAATGGAGTGAGTTGCTTCGTTCGGTTGGCATTTAAATTCAAAAGCCACGCGATCGTCCTAGGCGGAACGTACGAATTTGGAATCCTGGTAGACGTCGGAGCTTAAAGGACACTAAGGACACGCGAAGTCGCAACGACTCGGCAGTTGGCGATCTGCCGTAGTAAGCGAAGGAGAAAGTAGTAGAGGCGCAACAAAAACAAACGTCGCCTTAAAATTCGAGGGATCCCAGGTTGAAACGTTGAATCGACGAGCACCGCGATAATCGGCATCGGGAGCGGCGCCTCCCCGACCGTAGGACGAGTGACCAATTATCCTCAGGGCTATTTTCGCCGGGGCGTCGATCGCTCACCCGAGACTTCGAGACTCTCCCGGGGAAAGCTCTCTGCCCTCGAGATGAGACTTTCTTCGTAATGCTGCGTGATGACCCTAGCCAAAGCGGCGACGGCCAATGCGGAAACCCGACGGCATCCAATACTAAGTCGCCGAACTTTCTTTTTGTTTCTCTATCGTCTGACCCCGGCTGTCGGAGCTTTGCTGCTAATGCCACGGATGGCCGAGACATCATAAGCTTCACTGTCTCACTCAGAATTCACGGGCCTTGTTTAATGGCGATTCGTCGCGCTTCGAAAAGCTGCTTTATCGGCAAATTAGCAGCGACTACTGTTTTATGCGCGACAACAACATTGCATTCCTGTCTTGCATACATAAATTATATTTTTGGGACGGATATTATAAGTAGGACAAGCCTCCCCTTACGGCCCCCTTCACATCAGCCCTTACGTAATACGCACGCTTAAAGGGTGGCAATTTCGAGTTTCATGATGATTTTCCACGTGATATTGCGAATAAACGCTAGAGTCCCCGGTATTTTGAAACTCTCGCAATATGATAATCGTGTTG